AAATGAGAAACCAGGGCTTGCAAAAGCTTCCTAGGTTCGTATCAAATATGCGGAAACTGGCATGGGGAGAATACAAACGCTATCTCAGTCTGCAGTCTGAAAGCAAGCAGTGTGATGCGAATTTGCGACGATCGGCGTTAAGTGGTCACCTTTAATTAAAACTTTCTTAAATATCCTTTGGCTACAGAACACAAGTCTCCTCAACTCCAAGAGGAAACTGGATGCAGAAGTCAGCCAGCTGCAGGGCGAGATGGAGGATGCAATCCAAGAAGCTCGCAATGCAGAGGAAAAAGCCAAGAAGGCAATCACTGATGTAAATATTACGCACTTTCCCTCTAATTATATCTAGCACGTACAGGTTTATATGGTGTGATAGTAACTGCAAGAAACAGTGATTATTATAAAGCAGCCTGGTTGCCTCTATGGATGCCGTTGGTGTCAGGCCTAGCTTGATTATGAGCAGTATTGATTTGGTATTTGCTCTGACAAAAAATCAAATCAAACATCTGGTTAACTTTCTGTGTTAATGCAGGCAGCCATGATGGCAGAGGAGCTGAAGAAAGAGCAGGACACCAGCAGCCACTTGGAGAGGATGAAGAAGAACCTGGAGGCCTCTGTGAAGGATCTGCAGCACCGTCTGGATGAGTCTGAGAACCTGGCTTTGAAGGGGGGCAAGAAACAGCTCCAGAAACTGGAAGCTCGGGTATCACGCTTGTTCAAATGAGATTGATGTAACATTATTGAGATAAAGGTTGAGTTTGTGGGGTTTTGGATTTTCTCTGGCAGGTGCGTGAACTGGAGGGTGAAGTGGAGAGTGAACAGAAGAGAGCTGCTGATGCCATCAAGGGGATCCGTAAATATGAGAGGAGAGTGAAAGAGCTCACTTACCAGACTGAAGAGGACAAGAAGACTGTTTTGAGACTGCAGGACCTAGTAGACAAGCTGCAACTCAAAGTCAAGGCGTACAAACGGCACAATGAAGAAGCTGTAAGGTCTTTTCTCTCTGCCAGAAAAACAAATAGGATCTACTGTTTTTTTTATTATGATTATGGCTTACTATGTATGGTTTTGTTTTTTTCTACAGGAGGAGCAGGCCAATGCTCACCTTGCTAAGCTGAGGAAGGTGCAGCATGAGCTGGAAGAGGCACAGGAGAGGGCAGACATTGCTGAGTCCCAGGTCAACAAGATGAGATCCAAGAGCAGAGAGTTTGGAAAGGTAAGGTTTAGTTTATTTGCATCCTTAATGGGTTCTACCATAAATTGGCTAACTTTCCTGAGGTCTAATCAGTGGTTTCATACATGGTCAGCATTCTGAGAAATTAACAGCAGACGTCATTAATCACTGAAGGTGGGGTGTGAGATTCTGGAGAAATCCAATACCATGACAAACACCATGCTGTAGAGCAAATAACGACACAACAAGTAATGTGACTAACGCTAGCTAAGTTGTGGGTTAGCAAACTGTCGATAGAGTTTCTGCTGCAAAGCCAACATGCAGAGAGGACGAGACGGTCCCAGAGCCAGCACACCAGCTCCAGACTGCGACACACAGAACTCTCCTGCTGCTATAGCTAACATCACAGCACCAGCATGTCTGAAATCATGGCTGAAACAGCTGGAATAGTGTCGTGTGGCTCCATCCGATCCACTTAGTTTGTTTTCCAAAGCGAGGGCTGTGTTCAAACACCAAATATTTTAGCACACACACACAACGCACAGCTAGCAGACCTTGAGGAGAAACTCACTGACTCTGACTAAAAGATGTATATAGATTAGAATTTCAGACCCCACCTTTGATAAAGCATGTAGAAAAAGAATCAAAGAAACAAATTATGCATCACATAGGTAAACACCAATGACTATCAGTTAGTGCATCACTTTTGCTTCTACAGACTCCAGATTCCTTTCTTGTGTACAAGGTATATTTTCATTTACACCGTAGTTCACGGTTACTCTCCTATTATATCACTCTTCCTTCATTTATCTTTTGCTGCTACTTTGCATTGTGAACAGAGTAATGAACTACTATTTACCTGTAGAGTTTAACCGGTTGTGTACCATTTCAGTCATATTCATGTAGCCCCAATTCATAACATGTGTTGTCTTATTACTAGGCCGTACTTTTTGGTATATTATTTTCAGAAAAACAACAAGCATCATGGTCTAGGGTCGCGCCAAATGCATTTTTTTCTTTTTTATTGAAATCACTGAACAATCAGCTTTGGACAAAGGAATATTCATTAGCTGTGCTGGTGACCTTCAGGTGTGTTTGCTGTAGATCTGTCCACAAAAGAAATAACAGTGCCACAGCACAAGGTCAGCTCCCACATGGATGAGAATGCTAGTAGTGCACAAAACTACTTAATGTAATACTTAACTTACTTAATGTATGTGGATGACCATTACAATTTAATTTTATTTAAGACTGTAGGTTGTTTTTTAATGTCTAAAAGATATAACTTTGCTTTCCTTTCCTCTCCTTTCCTTCCCTGTCCTTCCATTTCCTGTCTCAGGCTGCTGAATCTGAGTAGACCTCGCAGCGATGACACAGACGGCACCCTCTATCTTAGCACAAGTAGAAACTCACCAGAGTCAACAAATGTTATTCTCCGCTGTGAGATTGTAGAAGATTAAAGTGGTGTGAAGCATTATCTTTAATGACATTGTCTTTCGTTAGATTGACTGTATAGCCAAACATAGCCATGTTTCTGAATATCAACATAAAGAAATTCATTTTATTATAGTTGATGTATTAGCAGATTAAGATATGTAGTATAAGTATAGTTTAGTATAGTGGTAATTAGCCGGTCAGAGAGATAAAAGTCCCCCTCAGTGTGTGCAGTTTGTGTCTAATTTGAGCATCTGTTTGCAGAGATCAGGGCAGATCCCAGCAGAATGCCTGCTGACATTTACATTCTGAGTTAAAATAGCCGTCCTCTTCACTGTCACTCATCTATCTACAATACCTAATGCTAGCATGAGACGTGGATTAACCATGATTAGACCAAAATAATCAAAGGACCATACGAACCAATTAACAAATTCTGCAGAGGATTAATTTAAGATGAAGCATGTATTTAGCTGTGTCACTCCATCCTTGAACCCATTTGTTTAGCACACCAGGCAGGGGGATTCTCTACTGTTTCTTTTGTTTCTCTGCCAGCGTCCTCATCAGTACAGGGATTTCATTTGTCGAAGACCGAGATTAGAAGTTAAAGTATGACGTAAATACTCAGCATTTAGCACGGTCATACTTACAGTCATCTTTCTGCCTGAATCAACAGAGCTATAGTGTAAAAGTTGATGTGTTTGGAGGTTTTATTCAACACAAAAGAAATGTAATTAAATTCATATTTTAAAAAGTTTTCACCAAAACCAACCATCCAGGATTCCACGTATGTGCAGTGTGTCAGGCAGCGGTAGGACTCCATCACAGAATGGTTGAATGAATTCTCACATTTTTAAACTTTGTAATAGAAAAAATAATGAGCATGGAAAATTTTTTTTTTTGAAACTTTTAACAAGCACAGAGGTTCAGAACCATTTGATCAGGCTATAGCTACCCAGCACAGATTGGATTTTTTTTTAAACAACCTGGAAGAGATTCTGATTCTGACAAAAAATGAATGAATAAAAGGATTTAGTATTCAAACTTCTCCTTCTTCACTAGAACAGAAAGTGAGTCATGTGTCCAAGAGTGTATCAGTGAAGGATAACAATAAGTGCTATGACACCCCTTTAGTTTGACAAGAGTGAGGACACAGCTGGGAAGGCCAAGCTCGCTGAGGTTTCTGTATCATGCACCATTAAGCAGCATGGATGATCTATGTGAGTAACACCTACACTAGTTGAACCCAACCTGTAAAGAGTCTCAAGTGTGAAATAAAGTCAAAAGATCTGGTTGATTTATTGCCACCTTCATATCTACTTTTAGTAAGACAGTAAAACCACTTAACGTCAATTCATTTCAAATAAGACATTTCTTGGATTCCTGTATGTGTCTTTTTACACTGAACAAAATTATAAACGCAAAACTTTTGAGCTGAACTCAAAGATCTAAGATCTTCTCTATGTTGTAATACTGTTCAAAAATCTGTCAAAATCTGTGTTAGTGAGCACGAGATAATCCATCCACCTCACAGGTGTGGCATATCAAGATGCTGATCAGACAGCATGGAGATTGCACAGGTGTGCCTTAGGCTGGCCACAATAAAAGGCCACTCAAAAATCCACACATCTCCTTTGCATAGAGTTGATCAGGTTGTTGTTTCTGGCCTTTGGAATGTTGGTCCACTCCTCTTCAATGCCTATGCAAACTTGCAGTCAGGTTGAGACCCCGATGAGGATAACGAGCATGCAGATGAGCTTCCCTGAAACGGTTCATGACAGTTTGTGCAAAAATTCTTTGGTTATGCAAACCGATTGTTGCAGCAGCTGTCCGGGTGGCTGCATGCTCCTTTAAGACTTGCAACATCTGTGTCATAGCGCTGTGTGATGGAACTGCACATTTTGAGCGGCCTTTTAAACAAAAACAAAAGTGTTGCGTTTATAATTTTGTTCAGTATACTTACTACTGCAACCCAGTATTCTGGTATCATCTGTAACACTGCAGTAACAGCAGCTAGAGGGCTCCCTAGAACAAGAGAAGAAGCATGGAGGGAGAAAGACCCCAAACCGTTTTAAGCTTGTTAAAAAATTTCATTACACACCTAGAAGATACTTTTCTTGTTTCATTTGTCATGGGGTGAAATTGATTTGTGTTATATCTTATAAATCAAAGACTTAAGATACTAGAGACACCGTGAGAGACTATCACAACAATATTCTTACACACGTAGAGCTGGTGATAACGCTCTTTGAGTTCATGCACCCTCCTTGCTTCTCCTCTTTGTCCTTCTTTTCTAGAAGGAGAAAAAACAAACACATTAGCAGATGTGTTAGATACGTCTCAAAGACAGTGTTTATAAAAATAAAACATTAACAAGTCATTAGCAGAAATATGGAGTCTGAAAAACACTTTATGAATCTTATTCTTTCTTTTTTCTTCTACATTGTGAAAATAAAGGTGTTATGAGCACCAATATGCTCGTAGCGCAAATATTTTTGACAGTAAGACTCTGTTAGTAGGACTCATGATTAATATGGGGCCCTTCACAGTAAAATGCCAAGCACTCAGCACTCTTTCATCCATGTCCTGTATGGCACAGATGAAGCTCTCTCTGGGAGTGATGAAGCTTTCATGGAAATTTTTTGGAGCAGTCAGCAAATCTTTTTTGCAAATAGCCACTGATGTGCAGTCGCACAGGAGACGAGCTTTAGTAAAAAGATGTATCAGACAGAAGCGTCAGCCAGCTGTTCTGAGCACTGGCAGCATCAGCCCTGTTTCTCAGATCAGAGCCCAAACTGGACTCCTCGCTCAACCTCAACAAGTGGCTCTGGTTCATCCAGGAGGAACTTCAGAGCAGTTTCCACCACCTGTGGTATTAATGCTGCAGCGGTCTGCTGAAGCGTGGCGAGCAGCGCTAGTTTGGAATGCTTCCTGGTGTGAGAGCAAGCAAAAAGAGTAGAGCAGCTTGTTGGACAGGTGGCAGAGGAAGGTCTGTGCATCCTGCTCTGCTTTTGGGTGGATGACAGAGAAACATTTGAAGACCCTCCAATGTGACCTTCATATGGTAGGAAGAGAAGAGTGAGAGACAGTAGGATGTTATTGCTGTAACATTGTAAAATGCTAGATTCTATCTATCTAGATTCAGCTGGGCATTTTTTTAAGTTCCTCCTAGAGCTCTTGCACCATCTGATTTGGACAGATAAGCCTCGCTGTGGTTCAGCCTGTACATATCACTCATTGCTTGGTCTTAACAGGAAAAGGTAACACTTTGTTACATGTCTGTAATTTACTAATAATTCCTGTAATTTGTACCTGAACTAAGGAAAAATAGTACAATTTTTAAAGAAGTCCTCTTTTATAAATGGTAAAAAGTACAGCTGGCTGTATTAATGGTCAACCAAGCATTTAGTAATGCTATAAAGATGAACTAAAAACCATTCTCCATCTCCTAAGTTCAACAGGAAGAATACACAATGGAAGTGTTGGACATTGTTGGACAAACTGGTTGGAAACACAAATGCACACTTCATCTAATCTGGCTATGGATCACTAGATCATATGCATTTGGGTCAAAAAAGAAGTCACCAATGTATAGTTTGTCACAAAAGTAACGATGCTTTAAGGAATTTCAGGTTGTCTTTTCTGACGAAGAAAAGATTAAAAAGACTCAATGATGATAAAGACTCACATACCTGGTACAAAGAGAAAGTTGCCACAGTTGCGGAGGATGTGCTTTCAGATGGTTTGAAAGCCGATTGTTCAGTCAACAAAGACAGAGAAAACAAACCCGTTGCTCTGGTTGACAGTGTGTTAGGAATGTACAGTAGACCATCGTCTGCGTCAGAGTGATGCAGACGATGGTCTGCTGTACATTGAATCTACATTATTCTTACTATAAATGAAGTGGCTAGTGATTACAGACAAATAGTTAATATGACTATCATTTCTAAATTAAACAACCACTAAGTATTAAAGAGAATGAGTATAGTGACCCACAATGTAGAATCAAGATGCTAACTTCTTTCATTTAGGTATTTCATTAGGGTGACCATATGTTCTCTTTTTCCCAGACATGTCCTCTTTTGGGACCTGTGTCTGGCCGGAATTTCTAAATCACCCAAACCATGAATGGTTATGATTATCAGCACTTAGCATTAACAAATTAGAGACTAACCACCATGTAGACCATTTTTCGTGCACAAGGATTAAATGAATGAGGTCAACATACCATAATGAAACTACTGTAACTGGAATTTATATATTAGTGGAAAGCTATGTAGGACTCTATTATCTGAAATCATAATGAATACACTAACATTGGCCATAATCAAATCTTGTCAGTGTCAAACATAGGTGTTAGCAATCTAGAAGACCACATGTAGACCCTATTATGGTTCAATAACATAAACAAACAGCTCAGTTGTCAGAGAAGAATCTGGTCCGACTCACTTTGCTACCCAGCTCACCAGATATTCAGCTGGTTAGCATCCCATAGACTCAGCTAATCAGAGCTCCAGAGACTTTGTTCCCCAGCATCACAGAAAGTCAGCTGTTTATGAAACTTAGCTGATCGGCTCCAGAAACTCTGTTGATCAGTGCTTAAGTGACTTTGGCAACCAGGTCACCGGACCCAGAGGCTGTGCTGCCTAGCACTCCAGAGACAATGTTGTTCAGTACCAGTGAGGTACCACCAGTCCTACCTGGTTCCCAGTCAGCGGTCTGGCCGACTCTTGTTTCCACCCATGACAGGGACTGCACAGAGAGAGTTGATAGCTCCACCTAGTGGCATTTTTGGTATGATCTAAAACATCAAAGTGTAGTGAAAGCTGTTAACTGTATTTCAGATATGTTTCATTGATTCCAAATTAAAATGAATATACACTGTATATCACAAGCCTCATTGCAGCTGCATTAATAAACCACTCCTCATGTCTCACTGATGGCTCAAGTTGGTTGTTGCGATGTCTGTAGGCTGAAAATAAAGTGATCTGTCATAACACCAAGCCACAGTGCAAATGAGGAACTATAAAGATTTTTTTTTTGTTTTTGGAAAATGTCATGTTCAAGTCAGCTTTGTCTCTGAACAAAGCTGCTTTATGAAACCATAACCAAGTATATTTAAATAAAATGACAACAAAGGCTTTAAAGGTAACTGTATGTTTATTTCACTCTTACTTTATTCTGTGATATAGTCAATGTTCTCCTGTGCTTTTTTTAAATACAACCACTTCCATTTGAGTCCATTTCCACTGACTTCCCATGTGCAATAAATAGTCACAGAGCCCTCCATAAAAGAGTAAAAAAGATATAATGACCACAAAAACGATATAAATAAACAATGATACTAAACAGCAGAAGACATTGCAGCAGTATAAGCAGTGAAATTTAGGCCATAAAAGCTAATCGTAAAATGGACAAATGTTTGGACATTAAATCATCATTATCGAATAAAATTAGTGTATGAAAAAGTAAAGGAGAGCCAGACGGGAGTTGCACATTTCAACAATCACAGTTAACGTCCACCACCAAAACTGACAAAATATCCGGTAAAATCTTTCAAACTAAAACTTTAAAAGGACCGATGCATGAAATCCACATGTTGCGCAAACAATAAAACTTTCCCCCTTAAAATCACTAGTAATCATTCCACACATAGGGTATTGCATTGGAGCTTCTTCATAATATTTATAACAGAGTGTGTGTATATAGTACTAGTAAATAGCCCAATGAATCATACGGCACAGTATCCAAGTGCTTTATACACTTTAACTTTAATAGAGATTTTTAAAAAACTACACAATTATTATGTAAACTAAAGGTCCACTTACTCATTTTTTACCCCGGAGCTTTCAACCGCAGTGACGGTGTTCCTCGGCAGATGGAGTTTGCTCGGTTTTCATGGAGATATCTTACATCTTATCTTTGGTTTTAAACTAACTTTGAAACGCGTCGTGCTTTTAGTTTGAAGGCAGACTTGTTGACTTCCGTCTGGTTTGACGCTGGGCTTGTAGCGTCTGTAACCATCAGAGACGGCGCGTGCAGGCTGGCAGGCAGGCTGGAGGAGCAGATCGCTGAGGGGCGTCCTGACAGTAGGTGGGGAACCTGTTCACCAGCTCCACGCGCGTTCCGCTCCGCTCCGCCGCTCCACGAGCTGTGAGCAACTCGGGCACCAAACTCGGACACAAAGCTCGCCCTTGATTCAAAAAACTTTTTGTTTTCCTTCAGAGGAGCAGGGGGGGGGAGGACATCTTCGCTGCCCGTGCGCGCTGGCGATGTCCGGATCGTACTGCAAAAGTTTGTACCCGTTCAGCGGGGAGCAGCACCAGCAGGGACTGAGCTTCGAGGCTGGGGACGTTATTAAGGTGGTCCAGGCTCTGCCCGGAGGCTGGTGGGAGGGCGAGAGGGATGGAGCTAGAGGATGGTTCCCTTCAAGTTATGTCCAGGTGTTGGAGGTAAGGGATTCTTTGTATGAGCCTTAATTAGAGCTTCACTGGGTGTAAAATTGCTGAACTGACTGACCTTTTGACTTTGTAATGATGTTGTGCTCATGAAAAACCCATTTTTCTTCAAGTGAACTGTTTATTCTCTCTCTGACTCAGTCACGTGCACGTTTTCTTCATGTCACTTTTGAGGACATTAAACAGAAGGTGAGTCAGGGCGGCTGTGGCTCAGGGGGTAGAGCAGTCCTCCCTTTATCAGAAGGTTGGCTCCCCCAGTCAGCATGGCAAGACACTGAAGCCTAAATTCCATGCATAAATGTGTACGAATGTGTTTCTGTGTCTGGTGAGCAGATGGCACCTTAGCCTCTGCTCATCAGTGTGTGACAGTAAAGTGGTTGGATTGGGAAAGAATTAGAAAGGCGCTTTAAAACAAACTATTTACTTTTTCCTGAAGACTTAACCTAACCCAAACTTTAACCGCTGGCCAAAAATCATCTTTTCTCCAATCGGGGACGTGGCTTTTGTCCCCTAAATCGACAAGCCGTCCCCGATCAACTGGTCTTTAGTCTCAAATGTGTTCAGTAAGGTCCCGTAAGTCAGACACACACACACACACACACAAAGTGGCAAGAGTAAAAGATTCAGACCGGTCACACTCTCAGCATTGACAGATGCACTAATGAATCGTTTTCCCGAGTTATCAGATTAACTCTAACCTTCCCTCTCTGCCTGGCTGAGCGGCCGACTGGTCGCACACTTCCTCATTCCACACGCATTCCACTGAAATTCTCAGGTCTCCTCTCTGTGCGCCTGAATGCACAGGGCGTGCAAGCTCCCTCTCTCTCTTCACGGTCAACCCATCCCTCGCCCACCCTGACCCCCTCTCTGGCTCGTCCTCCGAGTTCAGACACTGCTGCAACTTAGACAATATCTCCAGCTTCTTTCTTTCTTCCTTTTTAATTTGGCGTGCTTGGCTTGCTGAGTGAGTGTGTGGTTGAGGCGGTGACACCCACCCAGTGTTCTGACAGTTTGCTATAATCAGCTTGTATCCAAAAGGGACAGACATGACTCCAGCATTCTCGGCTATGGCACCCAATGCTGCCATCTTTATCACGTCCTCCCTCTGAATGTGAGGAGATATAAAAAGTAACATGATTTGTGCGCCGGTGACACCAGAGCGATGCCTCCTGATCACGGCCCTGTGCTGAAGACCCCGCAGCAGAAAACAGTTCAAGCACAACATCCCCTATCTTATCCAAGACCAGTTTTGAGGAATTGTGTTGACGGGCGGGGTAGCAGGGCGGCGCAGGGCGTGGAGAGACTGTTGTTTAAGCTTCACCAAGCATCCAGCCTGCAGAAGTGTTGAAGGTCTGAGCGAGAAGCTGAACTTTTAGAGGACTGCGGGTCTTGACCTGTCTGTAGTGGGGTCAAAGGAAAGTGTCGCCTATTCATTGATTCTGTTTCAGCAGTTGGTTCAGTGTTATGAATAGTAAAGTGAACAGAAAGACAATTCAGTCTCAGGCTATGCTTAGGTATGACAAAGAAAGGATAAATTGATTGATTAGTCAACAACCATTTTGATAATCGATTTTCAAGCAAAAAAAGCCAATCTCCATTATAGCGAGACCAGTAAATCAGCCGTGCTGGTGTATTGGCTTCTATCACCTTACCATAGATATATCATCTGTTTATTCCATATTTATATATTTTTAAATCTATTTGTCAACTGTATGTCTAGCACCTAATCACCATAGCAAACTCTTTATCCATGTAAAATGCTACTTGGCAATAAAGCTCTTTGAATCTGAAATCGGTATCAGTTTCCGTTACATGTAAAGAGAGCACAGAGCAGTTTATTGTTGCACTGAAAAATGTTTCACTCAGCGCATATTGTTATAAAATATAAGAAATTTAAATTTTTTAAGACGTAAAAATTGCAAAAGGAAAAGACAGCGGCCAGTGTATTGTTTTTTTTAAATTATTTGTAACTCATAAATTATTGTCCTTAACAATCCAGTTTATAGTTTCAACTCTAATGGAAAGTGGTGCTGAAAAGATTGCTCGAGTGGCAGAAAATGAATCAGCAACAAGTTTAGTGATCAATTTTCAAGCAAAGATTCCCTTGTGAGGATTTGCTTGGATTTGGGAGTGTTGGTCGGACAAAACAAGACATTCGAAGTGGAGATAAGATTAGTTTATTTCAAATTTGAAGGTATTAGCGGCCAGTAGGTCGCAAGAACTTGCCGTACAAAAAATGTCAAAGTTGTGTCTCAAGTATTTTTGGGCTGTACATCGTTTTCCCCCTAGAAAACAAGACAAGTTCATTGTTCTACTGCAGAATGTTCCGCTCAGTAACTATTGTGTTCCTAATTCTTAAAAGGGGAAAAAAAAGTTTGTGTTTATGTAAAAAAAAATCAGCCAATATATTGTTATCACATTTTTTATAACTCGATAGCATTGTCAGCCTCAAAATCCATCTGTCAGTCAATTTGAGGAGGTCGCCTTAAGCTCTGGTGAATGCGGCCAGCATTTTGCCCACCAAATGTTGAAACAAATTGATTACTGTGGTTTGACGAGGGAGGAAAAAAAAAGGAAACTCATTGTCCACTTACTAGCTATTTAGAGTTTTCAACTGCATCTCATGGTCTTCCTCAGCTGAAGAAGTACATGACGTCTCTTCAGTTTATCTATAGTAGGTTGGAAGCCTCGGAAAAAGGTAAATTGGACGTTGATTTACTAAAACTACTGTTTTCAGGGTCAACCTTTCACACTTGGCCCTTCAGCTACTCTAAATGATGCAACAACAACATTCTTGTCTGATGTTGGGTCTGACTTATAACAGATTCTCATCAATTCCACGCGAGCTCCCACTGGGGGAAACTTGCCTCTGTGATCTGCAGCCTGTGTCGGATGTTTGTGGTGTTGTGGGTTCAGATCTCGACTCTCACGGCTAACCAATCTTTCTTTTCACTCTCTTCTTCGCTGTTCTCTGCACTCGGGTGGAACCTTCCTAAAAATAAAAGTAAATTGATTTGCTTTGCTGGCTTTACCTGTTCTACCAGGCAGTTAGCTGTTTCTCCCTATTTCCAGTATTTGTGCTAAATAAATAAAAAATAATAATAATAATGCAAACATGAAAAGCCAAAACTATTTTAAGCGTGACTGTGGAAAAAGTAGTAGTAGACAAAATGATCTTAACTCCAGGTCCTCTTTCCTAGCTTTTCTACAGCATCTAATAAGCAAGTGAAATCTCTGGACAAAAGCCAGCAAGGAGACATTGACTTGAGTTATTTTGTCAAACTACTTTATTAGATTTGAAATAACAGGTATAACTGAGACCCCCTTATTGGTTCATAGTATTTGCTTGTCGGGCTTCAGTGCCAGTACATCAGAAGTTAATCTGGGATGAAGAGATTCACCTCCTACTTTTTGTAGGTAGAATTACTCACAGTGAAACTGGTGGCTTCCCCCACTCTTTGAATGTGTCATCAGTAGGTTGATCAGAAGTGTTGCGGGGGGGGGCTGGCTGGCACAATGAAATGACTGATGGTGAAACAAAAAACATGTCGTTGTTTCCTCATTCTGGTCATTTATTAGAGCCCAGGGGGGTGCTCTTTAAAGAAATCACTCCTGCGGGCTGTTACGCAGGAACTCGGCTGCCTTACTTTCATAATTGTAAATGCTTAGAAAGTCAGGCTTACAGGGATTTGGAAGCTGGCACAGTAAACAATGCAGCTCTCATTCTGGCTCTGTTGTCATCTTCAGTATTGTGGCTTGGTTCCACAAACGGCTCCATTCTTCCAAACATAATAAATCATTCCGAACCTGTTGCCTCCACCAAGTTAAACTTTGGAACTTTTGAAGGAAGAAATGAGAAATAATTCTTCTTCTTCAAAGTTTTGCTTCTTACTTAATCTGATTTAAGAACTTGAAGCTTATAATGGCTAATGTTAGCAAACTTTACATATTGCTGTTATAGCTATCATTACTGAGTCAGTTATGGAGCCTTACAGCTCTTCTTCACTGTTTTAGCTTTATCCAATCTATTGTGGCCATACAAGCTACAAAGTCCTCCTACAGTGTCCTTCCTTTCCTCCCTTCCTCTCATCCCCCTGAGTCTCTTTCCAGGTAATGTTTTGAGAAAAGAACACTGTGACCTCTCTTCTCAGTGGGCATCAGATATGAAATGAGATCCTGAGAGTGTGTGAACTGTATTGTGTGAAAGGTCCTCTCATCTACTCCAGGAGAACATTGTATTTCTTGAGCCATCATGACAACCGCCGGAGCTTGATGAATCATAGCCAGTTATATCAGTGTCTGGCTCATTAGTGCTGCTCACTGCTCACCTAATGAGGAGGATACGAAAAGAAACAAAAGGGAGTTAAAGCAGCAGCTAAAAACCATCAACGGTGACTCGGTTGCCATGACTTTCTGCCCGATGCCTCTGTGATGTCACCCAGCGCAGTTCAATGGAGGATATTGTCCTCAACAGTGTTTGGAAGCTTTTTATCAGCAAATGAATTGGAGTGAGTCATTGCTTCATTCATTCGATCAGCCTGCTTGCTTGAAAATAATTTGTCAGCCAATCTGTGGTGTTTGTCTTCACTGTTTCCAGATTGTTTAAATGCGAAGCCGAGCCTGGCTCTGTGTTGCTGCTCTGTTACTCTATCATTCCATGGAGCAATGCCTTATTACCGCGATCCACCTTTTTGTGATTCAGTGGTAGTTTTTATCTACGTCAGAGAAGGTATTTCTTACACCTTACTAGCAACAGGATATCTCATGAATTCAAAATTCTGGGGACAGGTCGAGACTTTGACCTAGGGACAATTGATTCCACTTAGGTATTTCCACCATTCTACAATTTCTATTCTTAGCAACAACTATGAAACAAGTAGAAATTTGATTCCAAACCTCGGAGGCTGGTTTGCCAGGTCAATAAATATCTGGTTATAGGGGCTGATGTCTTTGGAGACTGGCAGAGTGAAACGTCTGCAGCACCATTATGCATG